CGGGCGTATATCGCGACAAATAACTTCACGCCGTATTTTGTATAGCGAATTTTATTTCACATTCGCACTTACAATCACCCAAATTACAGATTTACGGTTACTGCTATCTGCAGTATCACAATTAGTACACTCCAAATGCCAGAATACAACTGACTAGTTGCTGGCTAACTCGGCGGCTGTCACAGTACAACTCGACTCGGCGACTGTTACAGTACAACTGACTGTGAATAGCCTTCGCTGCGTCTTATGTAGCCTCGATCGGACAGTTGTTGCCTGGTGCCTTGTTGCTAGCCACGCTGTCCTGAGTTGTTGACGGCTGCCTTGCATAGTTACCAGGTTACGGGGGCTCGGCTATCTTCGGCTCCGCTCGGCTCCTTTTGGCTCCGCTCTTGTCGTCACCGCTCATAGCTGCCAGGATGCGGGGTGATTACTCGCCTATTACGCGAGCGTTACGTTGCCGCTACGTGCAGCTGGGGAGGTAGGGGTCAACATGCCACAATATGTATTTACATATATGTGAGTTGTGATTGAAGTCATGTTTCATATTGAAGATGCATACTTGTCAATGTAGGTTGATAGTCTGGGCAATTTGAATCATAGCAGACGGATTTTCATTCTCTGTAGCATAGATCCTGTATGTACGCATCACATCTACCTCCTCCCCATGATTTGTATCTTAACAGCAGTACTCTACTGTTTGTTCCAGCTATCAGGTTTCAAGGTGTACCTTTTGACAGCAAACTCTTTTGGGAACCTCACTTGAGATGTAAATGACAGTTCTAGTGTAATTTAATAATCATCTTTTCATTTAGACTAACTTCTAATCTGTCCAAGATTCAAACTAGGTACCATTTAAATATAAATATAAGACATTCCCGTTATGTCAGCCTGCTCAGTAATACAAGAGTGATATACAGTAAAACTTGGTTATAGCAACATCGGTTTCTGCGACACCTTGTCTATTGCGTCAAATATTCAATGGTACGAACTAATTCCTCATAAAGCAACTGTTTTTATACCTTGCTTAGTACGACATGCACAAATGCATCAACCTCGTATGTAACGTCATTTTCATTCCTGAATTTCTCTGATATGGACATTGAACGTAATTTAGAAAGTGTGTATTGGGCAAGTAACAGGAAACAGATGAAGATAACTGATTACTGTACTCGTATCTAGGTACAGTAAGGCACAACAATTGATGTAATCTACTGTAATTTGGTGAGTAGGCCTACCTTTAATATACAGTATTAGTGCGGTGTGTATTGTCAGTGAAAAGCGCTGTAATATGTCTTTGATATTACACATTTGGGCAATTCCACGTTAATGTTACGTTAGTCTGTACTTAACTACGTATTTGACTAAAAAAATGCAACATTTTAACTCGGTTTTTGGTAGATTTTTACGTGACTAACATACGGCTACTGTGGAAGTGCCCATTTCGGTTACAACGACATTCGTTTATAACGACACTATTTTTAGGTCCCTTTGATGACGTTATAACCAAGTTCTACTGTAATTTATAATATGGTATTCCTGTCACAATTTGCTTATTTTTCAGGCTCACAGGACTGTTCAGTCAAGCTCTGGGACTTCTCACGGCTTGCAGAGGAGATGGTGCTCGAGGATGTTAATGTCTCACACAATCCAGACATCAAAAATAGTGACAGTTATTTGCTGCGATCATATGGCACAAAGAACTCTGCTGTTCTCCATTTGCATTTTACAAGGCGCAATGTACTGCTGACTGTTGGAATATATGAAGGTTCTTAATGCTAATATACAGAATGATTAACTCCATGGCACATGCTCTTCCTTGAAACTTTGGTACGTAGCTGGTTCAGAAGTCCAATATCTTTTATGGAAGCAGAAAATTCATCACCATATTCACAAAAGTCAACAATTGTGTTCTGTTCTAAGTCAGTTCAGTCTAGTCCATACCTTCTTTGTTTCTCTAATATTAATCTTAATATTATCCTCCCATCTATATCTAGGTGGATCGAGTAGTCTCTTCCCCAGAGATCTCTTGACCAAAATTTTGAAACCCTCACCATGGTGCCCAGTTACTACTCCGCCTGCCTGCCCTTTGCAATTTAAAAAAAAAGTATTTGGGATGGAAAGGCGTATGTTTTGAATGCTTGGAATGTCAGTGATGAATGCAGGAGGCAAGGGAATGCAAAGAGCTAATTAACGTTTATTATATAGGAATAGGGAATTTAAACCTCAGAGGCTTGGGGCCAGATCTTAACTCGTAGGTTTTAACTATTAGTAGTATTGTCATGCAGTATGTGTGACTCTCAGCTGGGTTTTGGGTTGATGACTTGATTTATTGATCACTTACAGGTTTGAACTATAAATAACTATAATACTATCACTATTTCCACAGTTTATAATTCACTAGAGCACACAGTCTTGTGTTCTTAGCCTGTTATTAGATGTTTCCTGGTAACGGCTCCAACAATAGCTATTCCTATACCGCTAGCTCAAGTCTTCTCTTCACAGACTCCCGTACAGAACTGACTATCAGCTGACTTTGTCCCTTGCTTATAACATCTTGGCATGGACCATGTAAAAAACACAGCTCTTACACTGTTGTAGTCAAACTGTTGCTTTATTAAGAATCTACTGCCTAGCAATGGGAAGGTTTTCATCGAGCCGTTTCCCAGAACCAGCCCTTGTATGTCCTAACATCTTACAGTCACCGCATAGCAACCACTGTACACGCTACAGTATTATGTTCTGAACTGATATGTTGCATTGCCAGAAAAGATTTTATCAATTTTTGTCACCATGATAGCTTCAAGATTGATATGATATTAGTATTGAAAACAAGTATTCTAGTAACAAGTTTTTGAAAATGTATAACATTACCAGAGTGTGTACTGTAATTTTTAACTGATATAAAAATCATTCTTTCCAAAGAAGTTTAAAGGCTCTATGTAAATTCAATTATACTTCACACACACACTTCCGGAAACATTTTCTTTCCCACATTGTGATGGTCCTCCAATTTAGTTTACCTATTGTATGACAAATATGAAAACATGTTTTCATCCACAGTCAAATTGCATTTTCTTTTTGCAACCATATGATGACAGAATGATAAGGTATTCAGTATAGTTGGAACCAGTAAATTTAAAAAAAATATATTTTTTTTTGTGCACTTGCATGTTCTAACTGAATACAGTAGTTGTTAGTCATTCTGTTCTGTTGATGCAATCCATGTGCCAACTGTTTATAAGATTTTGCATATTCATCGCACAAGTTGCCTTGTTCCTGTAGTATCTCTTGCATGTCTTTCCAATACAGTTGTATCTGACACTTCCACTTCAGTTTACAGCTGTTTTTGCAGGATATCAAATAAACCTGGAAAGAAGAAACTGTGCATATAAGGTTTGTGGTCTATCCCTTCTACTTTGTAGTAAGGCTTTTCATTTCCACATGCATACCTAGCAAATACTGTCCACATTGCATTTTTCCCATCCTCTCTGAAGTATACCCCTGTATTATAGACAGTCATATAACACAGTTTTTAAATTTTTACAACAAAGCATATATGTTTCTTAAGCTTAAATTGCTTGGGGGGGGGGGACGTTTCCTTTAAAGAGCTCAGTGACTATTCACACCTAAATATTTTGGTGGACTTATAGTCTGTTGTTTCCATCCATAATGCAACAATTAACAATACTGAATCACGCTTAATCAATACAGTGGTCATTATGTATATAAAATGTTATTAAAATTATTAAACTGTTAGAATATATATGCATTATCACATTATGTTTTGGCCATATAAGGCCATCCTCAGGCAACACTTTTATAATGAGTCTAATGCCCTGCGCACTAATCGAATATCATTCTTTCCGTTATGTCATTGGTATTTTCTTCTTCATATCTTTTTTTGAAATCTGGCTCTTTCTGTATTTCATTGATGTATTGTTTCCTTGATTATGCATATCAAGTGTCCCTTTGCAAAGGGACACTTGATACAGAGAACTCTGCTAAGTTCTGCAAGGGAGACTGAGAACAGATGGCACTATAATTAAGTTGACAGTTTAGCTGTGGAGTGTTAACCAGCTGGCAACGGTGTGACCACAGAAGCTGAAGAATCGCCATTGTTAAGATTTTGCCAAGCAATGACTAGTGAAAACAGTGCAGCCTGGAGAAGAATTATAGCATGTAGTGATTTGTAAAGTGTTTAAATCAGCAATTGTACAAGGAGCATTCCATATATAATGCCTCCTATTCTTTTAATGAAAACTACAACAGATACAGAAAGCATAATAACACAGTTAAATAGAGCAAGATTTCAGCTACTTACAGTTATTTTTCCACATAATCACCACCATTCGTTATGTACTTTTGCCAGTGATGAACAAGAGCCTGTATGCTGCACCTGTAAAAGTCTGCACCAACAGAGGCTAGCCACTTTCTTACAGCTGCAATGACAGCATCGTTGTCTGGAAAATGTTGCCCACGTAGTCCATCTTTCGTAGACCCGAAGAGATAGAAGTCTGAAGGTGCTAAATTGGGACTATAAGATGGATGTGGTAGGACAGCCCAGCCAAACTCTGCAATGTGCGCGGTAGTCACCACACTGGTATGGGGTCTAGTGTTATCGTGTTGCAAGCGAAAGGTTGTCTGCTTCTCTTGCCTGACTCAGGAAATGTAGGCTTTCAGCTTAGTCAGCAACATCTTGTAGCGGTCAGAATTGACAGTCTCACCAGGCTCCAGGAAATCCAACAAAATCACACCCTGTCTATCCCAAAAGACTGTGCACATCACTTTCCTTGCTGATGGCTGTGTCTTGAACTTCTTTTTTCTTGGGGAATGCGAATGTCGCCACTCCGTGGACTGTCTTTTGGATTCCGGCTCATAGTGGTGACACCACATCTCATCTCCGGTGATGATGCTGTCCAGAAACTTGTCACCTTCAGCCTCAAACTGGTGCAACAGGTCCTCACAGACTTCCACTCGATAAGTTTTGTGCCCCTGTGTAAGCATCCACAGGACCCACCTGGAATAGACTTTGCGAAAATCCAGCTTCCCCAACATCTTTTCCAATGCATTACAGCCAATATTAAGCCGTGCACACAGTTCCCTGGTCGTTATCCACCAATCTGTACGGATGAGTTGATCGAGGCGTTGTTCATTGTGAAGAGTGGCAGCTGAGCAAGGACACCCAGGGAGTGGTTTGTCATGCACTTCACTTTTGCCACTGTTGAAACACACTACCTGCCTCACTGTGCTGACATCCACTGCTTTGTCTCTGTACACCTTTAGCAAGCATCGATGGATGTCAATGGGTGCAATTTGTTCAGCAGTGAGAAATTCAATAACCCATCTCTGTTTCGTACACACTTCTATGTCAGACGCCATTTTGGTACATTGCTCTGCTGTCACTATCTGTTGCACGACAACCGAATTAATAGTACATTGGCAGTAAGGTTCAACCTTTACTACAACACCACCAACATCCAGCTCAGACGTTACAGATTAACACAAAAAAATAGGAGGCATTATACAGGATGGGGCACAGAAACTTCCTTTTTTTGAAGGCGAATAAAAGAAAAATTATTGCTGATAGAGAAAAGTTATGTTTAGCTAATGAGAGAACATACTGTGACGTGTTGCACAACTGAGGACAGCCCCTCCCTCCCCAGCGGTGACCTAGCAGGTGAGTCAGAGCTCTGCCCCCCCCCCCCGCACTGTGACGTAGCACCGCTTCCTACTGCGACGTGGCACACAACGCCGCTGTTGACACGGGCAACAGGCAACAGCGAACAGAATAAAAGCTGGCTGAGCAGCAAGCGAGAGTCAGTGTGTGTTGAGGAGCAGCACCGTGAAATACAGCAGCTGCCAAAGACAGTGTGTGTTAAGGAGTGGCACCGTGAAATATAGCAGCCGCCGAAGACAGTGAGTGTGTGAGCCGGAGCAACACAGTTGGAGTATAGCAGCAGTCGTGGAAAGAGGAACTGGACGTGTGTGTGATAATCAGTGATAGTTTGTGATAACTGAGAAGTAAGTGGGAGTGTGTAACACAGTGACACTTATATAGCTCCCATACTGTGAATACGTGTAGACTACTGAAGACAGAATGAACAGATTATTACGAATAGGGTTATAAAGTGTGAAACCCCACAACGGTGTTATAATTAATTGTAGCCGAGACTTGTAGGTTGTTAAATAAACCAATTAACAATCCATACGGCGTCTTCAGTAACAAAACACGTTACAATACTTAGAGTTTTAAGCAAAATATCTTGAAGGTGGTGGCCACCCTTCTTTATGCACTGATGCAATGGTTTTCTGAAGTTCCCCTCTGCACGTTCCAAAATGTGCACCCGAATTTGGGCTACTTCCTGCCGAATAACATTCTTCAGCTGAAGCAGGTTTGTGGGGTGATGTTTAAAAACTTCTGCCTTGAGGTATCCCCATAAAAAAATCACAGGGCTTTAGATGAGATGAGTGCACTGCCCACGGGATGTCACCTCGAAGCAAGATGAGCCGTCCAGGGAACTTTGCCCTCAAATCTGTCATCGAAGCTCGGGATGTGTGGGCCGTGGCGCCATCCTGTTGGAACCAGACATTTCCTAGATGCATTTCTTCAAGAGCTGGTTCGAGAAAGTTTTTAATCATGTCCACATACCACTGTGAATTGACAGTAACTGCAGGATTGTCTTCTTCAAAAAAATAAGGGTCAATAACTCCAACTCTCGACAACGCACACCATACTGTCACCTTGTCACTGTGAAGTGGCCTCATGGAGCTCTCTGGGATTGTTACCACTTGAATAGCGCATATTCTGCTTGTTGACATATCCAGATAGGTGAAAACGTGCCTCATCACTAAAGAAAACAAGTGCGTCAGGGGGTAAAGTTTCCAATAACGTTTTGCATGCCATTATTCAATTCTGGAAATCACGTGGTGACAATTCTTGCACAACAACCATCTTATATGGATGGAAATTAAGATGTTCGTGAACAATTCGGCGCATTAAATGATTCGATATGTCTAGGGCGACTGCATGTTTGCGAGCAGAGCGTCTTGGAGATCTCAAAATCGACTGTCAAATTGCCTCCACATTTTCTGGCGTCCTAATGATCCGTTGTCGTCCTGATTATTTTTTCACCACACTCCCAGTTGTCCTGAAGTTCTCTACCCACAAAACAGTCGATTTCTGGTCAGGAAACGGACCTCTGGGCTCAGTTCCGAAGTGAGTACAGAATGCATGCTGCACCGCCACATAGGAATGGTTGTTCAGAAAATAGGCTTCGACAGCAAACGCACGCTGCTCACTCGTCCACCTCATGTTTCCTACTGAGGGTTATTAGACAGAAACTTCCGCGACTGCTGCATTCGCCGAGCCTATCCCCACTTTTCTGCGACCTCCCCTCCCTTCACAATGTGTCTTCACAAAAAGGAAGTTTCTGTGCCCCACCCTGTATATGAAGCACCCTTCGTATTATATTATTTCTTATTGAAGACTTTCATAACACAACAATCAATAATACTTGTGAGGAGCTCTAGGANCATTTGTTTATGAGGACTCTCTCGTCTCCGCGAATGGACTGTAGATATGTATACAGTGGCCATCTCGTAGTGCACTCAATTTCACCTGTTACTTCACGACATCACACACATCACAAGACACGGTTTACACAGAATATAAGAAAAACGACCCCCATAGTGGAAGAACCACACGCAAGTTTTAATTAAGACACATAGGATGAATAATCTTTAACAAGTTTTAGTGTGTGTAAATTTATTATAGTTGACAAATACTTTTTAAATAATTTTATAAAGACATATAATGGCAAGCAATGCAATAGATTAGCGTAATTAGGGCACCTGATGATGGCACTATGTTGCCAAAACATGTCGTGAAGTAACAGGTGAAATTGAGTGCACTACGAGATGGCCACTGTATACATATCTACAGTCCATTCGCGGAGACGAGAGAGTCCTCATAAACAAATGCATGCGGTGTCTCCTTCGCTCTTTGAATTAAATCATGCAGCGATCATGTGATGCGTGTAGAGTTGCAGGGGTGTCCAAAGTTACGAAATGAAATGTACTTTCACTATAATAACAAAAGTCTTAATACCTGTGGACAGTACTTTGCCATTATTAAATCGTTAAAGTAAGGAATTATTTGATCAACCAATATTGCAATTTATATGCGTGATAAGACAAATTTCTACGTAATTGATTAAACTTAAAAACTACTTACAGTATGCTTATTCTGATGAACTGACACTGTCTTCGTTGAGATCTATAGCCAGACGTTCTTCACACTCCTCTCTAATGTTATCCAATTTCCACATTTCGTTTTCAACTTTCTGAATCACGTGACGTACACATTTATCCCAATCATTTGGAGACACTTTTGTCACGGCTTCTTCCAGAAGTTCTTTAACTTCCCTAATCGTGAATGTCTTATTTCGAGCAGCAACATAACCCTTAATTTGAGCCCAAACCAACTCAATGGCATTTAGTTCGCAGTGGTATGGAGGAATGCGAAGAACTGTTTTGTTTGCACTTTTTGCCATTTTATCTTTCACGTATGACATGTATGCTGACTTATGTTGCTCAACAGTGCACAGAAATTCTTTCTTTAGCATGCCATCTTCATACGTAATGTGTTTAGATTGTAGCCATTCTTTTATTTTCGGGATATTCCAATTTGTAGCTGGAATTCTTTCCTTCTTGCGTGAATGGTACGGCGCATTGTCAATTACAATAACCGCGTTTTCTTCAAGTCGAGGGAGAACTGCTCGAAACCAGTTCTCGAAAGATTCTGCACACATCTCCTCATGGTAGTCTCCAGTCTTTTTGGATTCGAAAAGCCACAAGCAGCCATCCACAAAACCTTTCTGACTCCCTATGTGCGTTATGATTAGGCATCTTCCTTTACCTGAAAGGGCTTTGCTTCCAGTTGTCAACCCAGATAGAAACGCTTGTTTCGACGATGTTACACTGCCGTCCACCCATACATTACTTCTTGTGTGGCCCTCGTTCAGCCATGTTTCATCTAGGCAGGTAGTAAATGGGTCTTCCTTGACAGCTCAGCGATCTTATAGTGCGCAAGTAACGTTGCCTCTATAAGATAATATCATCTCTGTCTGTTAACATGCTGTCACGTCCGCATCGAACATACTTGAAATGTAGAACTGTTAACAAATTATAAAATGTAGTCCTACGATAAGTACCCAAACCTGTGTCTTCGTTGACTGCTGCCAAAACCTTATCAATCGTAGGCAACTTATGGTGAAAGAAAAAATCATGAAATTTTCTTCTTATTGCATTCCTCTCAAATTCATCTACACTTTCCGAAAACCGTTTACGACGCTTCACCTTTTTGGGTGACTTCAGAATGTGAGTGGTCTTATATTCCCTAATCACACGATATATGGAAGAGTCGCTGACTCCTGTAGAATATGGTGCTTTCTTAACGATGTCGGCTATTAAAATGTTCGAATTTAATTGTAATTCCGTTTTATACACATTGAGGATCATATGTTTTTCTGATGAACTTAATGATTTCCTTTTTGGTCGCTTCTTAGGTGGACTCAAAACCTTCATATCTTTTTCGCTCGCAGTCTCCGTAGTGGACATCGTGCACTTACTCGCAGCAAGCCAGCACTTACAGGAACAAGAAAACAAGAAATATTAGTTTTAAAAACACTGTTCAATCTGAATGCAGGTTAACGTGCGTCCGAATGCAGTGAAAACACTGAAGTAATTGCGCGCTTTGTCCACCCCTTGCTGTCAGCTGTGGCAACGCGGGGCTTGCAGTGTTTATGTTAACTATCTCGTCTCCGCGAATGGACTATAGGAGATACTTCAAGAATCTTAACGCCACAACTCGCCAACAGATGGCATTGCAGGGTGAAATTAAAAAAAAGTGACTCCTAACGGATTTTGGACACACCTTGTATATGTTTTACAGATGAGCAGTTATGTATAATGGCTGTTTCACGACCATGTATTACATGCATAGTATAAAAAAATTTCATATACACTCAACTCTCGATTATCCAGGATAATGGTGGGGATGAAAATCTCAATCGAAAACCCAGTTAAGACAAATTTTATTCTTCATAATACTATAGGCCTACCTGTATTTAAATTTAGTCAACCTCATTTTTATGACATCTCATGGCCTATTTAATACTTTTTTTACATTACACTGAAGTATGAATTAGTTATTTCAATCACAGTGTTCAACAACAACCAACACTTTTTACAAATATTCACACTTAACACTTAAAAAAATTAATCTTGTCTGCTTTTTTGCAGCATTTTCCTTTTTATGGATATCCGTATGAAGCCTACATAATATTAGCTTGTCACTTAATAAACTGTTCTCTTCACTCTCAAGATAGTCTAGTAAGGATTCCAAATGATTAAGAGCAGCACCATGTGATATTTTCNGCAACACTGTCCACCTCTTCCTCATTCTCACTTTCTTCCCGCTCTTCTGGCTGCACCCCCACTGAACTTATGATTTCGTCACTGCTTAACATTTTGAAGCCTGGCTCACACGAGTCACAGTCAAACCACTCTCTCATATTTTCCTTGTTGACTTCTTCACCACCATGAACTTGGTTAGCCAATTTTGTCAGTTCTATGGCTATCTCATTTTCACTGAATCCAGTGAATCCACGGATTTCGTCATCTTCATTAGTGATGAAAGGCATCAGTTTCTTCCACGAATTTTTCAATACAGATGGCTTTACTGTATCCCACACTGTTGAAATCTCGTATATTGCATCTAACACTGAAAAAGACTTCCAGAAACACGTCAGATCATTGCCTTCATCGATGTACTTTTGTAGCAAATTTGATCTGTAGATTCTCTCCATACTTGAGATAACTCCTTGATCCACTGGTTGGATAAGTGCGGTAACATTGGGAGGAAAATATTTCTATCATCGGACCTCAGGAGACTTTCGTTAGGGATGTGAGGGCACACTGTCAATGAGGAGCACAGCTTTCTCAGGTAGGCCTGGGGATTATAGATGGTCACGAACTTGAGGCACAAATTTAAAATCAAACCATTCTTTAAATATCGCTCTATTCATCCAAGCTCCTTTCTGATTAAAATAATGGATAGGCAGACTTGAAGCTACTGTTCCTTTAAAAGAGTGTGGTATTTTCACTTTATCGATAACTACTGGTGTTAGTTTGTGTGTTCCTGATGCATTAGAACAGCACAAGGCTGTCAATCTCTCCTTACTGGATTTGTGACCTGGAGCCTGTCTTTCATTTTGAAATGCCAAAGTTCTGGTTGGCAAGCATTTACAATAAAGACCCGTTTCATCGGCATTATAGATTTGTTCTGGTAGCAGATTTTCACTTCTCATGAAACTATCAAAATTGGTGCAAAATTGAACTGATGATGACAAGTCCCCTGACAATTTCTCGTATTCCATGATGCTGCTTGAAACGTGTTAGCCAACCGGAAGAAGCATCAAAACTTCCTTATAGTTCAAGTGCTTCGGAAAAAAATTTCACTTGTTTAGCACAGACTGCTCCTGTTATTGTTGTTCCCTGTGCCCTTAGTTGATTAAACCAGATCAGCATTGCTTTGTCGAAATCATCATATGTTCATTTTTTCATGGTTTTTCTCTTCTTCATTCCACTTGAATTAGAAGACGAAGCAAAGGAAATTAATTCATTCTTTTGTTTTTTCAAATCACGAACAGTTTATTCACCAATACAGTATTGCATTGCTAATTGTTTAACTACACCTCTTTTTCCCAACTGATTGATAATTTCAAGTTTCTGTTAAATACTTAACACAACACGCTTCCTTTTACACCCTGACATTTTGCTAATGCACTTGAAGATCGATACAAAGAGACTAACTGGGGTGGTGTAACTGTCCTTGAAACTTTCTACAAATCCTTGCATTCTTTCACCCCTACCCTAGAACATTGTGTTAGCATAACAGGACCAAAAAATGCAGAACTCGGTTCACACTAGTGCGAAAATAGTGTTACAACTCACCACGTGAAACAAAAGTGAATGAATATTAAACAACATATAAGCCTCAAAAAAGCCCCGGTAGCCCTGGTTAAGGCGCAAACCAGTTTATCTGCCCCCGGATAATCGAGAGTTGAGTGTATTTGAACTGTGACATTAAGAACCCATAATGTAGTGCACATATGTTAAGTATTATTGAGATATAAACTGCATCAGGGGTTGATCTCTGTTACTCCAGTTCAACATGAGCTGATATGTTTATTTCCAAAACATGTCTTATGTCACAGAGATATTGGGTTTTCGGACTTCATCCATTGTCCTGCTTTTAAGATAACTAAGAAAAACACTACGTTTCAGAAACTGGATCTGTTTTCGTCCTCAGGTGAAGGAAAACACCTATTCTGTTGGGTTGACTGAGGGACCCAACAGGTTCTGCCAGAATTTGATCACTACCAGACGATTTATACCTTTTCAACTTTTCAGTAGCAATTTCTACCTCAAAAGGACTAGAATCAGGTACTAATGGCTCAGCTGTATATATTTCTATCTGCCTAACATCACTGACCCTATTTACATTCAATAACAGAGTAGTAGTTCTTCCATCTATTCAAAATGTTGTGGAAATCTGCAAGCAGATTACCATTTTCATCCTTCACTAAGTTACTTCTAAGGCCACGCCATAGCTCAAGCGGTTAGTCTCTCTGGCTTCCCATCGCGGCAGCCCAGGTCTGGTCAAGTGGGATTTGTGGTGGACAAAGTGGCACTGGGTTAGGTTTTCTCCAGGTACTTCAGTTTCCCCTGCCAATCTTCATTCCACCAATTGCTACACAATCACCCTCACCTATCATCTGGGGCTGGAACAATAGGCCAGAAGTGGCCACAGTACAAGGAATTTAGTCCCACCCCACTGGCAATAAAAATAAAGTTACTTCTAGGTTGGTGACCCCTCTTAAACTCATTTATTCCTCTATTCAGGTCCCTAGTATTCTTGTTCTTACTGTTCGTTGCAACCTCATCGATTTTGTCTTTCAGATATTCCCTCTGTTTTTTCCTGAAATGCCTGCTGGTTTCACGTCTTATATTGTTGACATTACCCCCATTTATTTTGCTTGGATCCTGTAACCACTGCAATGTGGCTTGTTTCCTTTGATCTAACAATATTGAGCATCCTTCATCAAACCATGGCTTATGCTTGTTCAGTACATAATAACCTAGACTCTCTTAAGCATAAATTTTTATATTCTCTCTAATAGTTTCCCAAGCTCCATTAATATCCACCTCAGCATCTGAGTTTTCCAAAGATGCAAACCTGTTAATGACATTTCAACATGATACTGGTCTTTACCCTCTACCTTTTTTAATTTCTTGAGATTGAACCTCTCTGTATGACCTCTATGCAGTGTGTGCTTACTTGCTGCCAGTCTCTCCCTAAACTTTGCCACCACCAGGTAGTGGTCAGTATCAGTCTGCTGCCCTAAATGATCAGACACCAAGTATACTTGAATACCCTCTGCTATCTATCATGATATGGTCAACTTAGTTGTGCGTCTTCCCATCAAGAGATGGCCAAGTAAATTTATGAATGTTATGATGTGGGAACATTGTACTTTTGCCAGTAAAATTTTTTGATGTGGTAAAGTTTAATACTCTAACTGCATTATCAATACTAATTTCGTGTAAACACTCATTCCCAATTGTTGGTTTGAAAATGTCTTCCCTGCCTACTTTGGCGTTGAAATCTCCTAACAAAATTTAATATGGTACTTCAGGAATTTATCAAATACAAGTTCTAGTTCTTCGTAGAACCTGCCCTTTATAC